TTACATGGAAACATACATAAACTTGAATGTTCTCAAACATCTTAGTGCGGAAAAATAAAAAAAGAATATTCGCAAAAACAAAAATCCCGCTAAATCTACGAACAACTAATTCTATTGGTTTAAAAAATACTAACTGAAATTTCTAGAGTATTCAAAAAATACTAACTGAATGTCCTGAGTATTCTGTTGAAATATTTAAAAAAATTGTATAATTTGAACTTTGTTACGTTTATGTTGAGATTTCTAGCATAAATTATTTTAAGAATATACTATCAAACGAACTATTATTTTAATTCTTGGAGCGACATCTACAAAGCTATAAATATTTTAAACTAACATTATTTGTTTACAGTAATAAATGTTTTAAAATTTATATTTTTTAGCTTGTCAATGTTTTGTAAATATATTATAGATTTTATTAGTATATTCTTTTTTCGCCATGGATAGAGTACCAAAAGTTTTAACTTTTAATAGCGCATTCATTGGTTGCTAAAGGTCACGTGTAAAAACAAATTTTATTTTTATATAGAGAGTTTATATAAAAACTTTCAGTACTCTATCCACGACCTTCTTTTTTTATATATATAAGGGATGTATTTTTTATGTATGTAATGTATTTTTATGTATGTAATGTATTAAAATTATAAAGCCCACTCACTAAACATCATCAACGGTATTGTGAAACAGTTCCGCTTCCTCCTCACAAAGTAATTTAACGTTTTTAGTTAATTTCTATCTAGCTAATTGAATTTCTACAATAACTCAATGATTTAATTATTTTATTTTTTTGGTTTTCCAAGCTTGAATATGATTTAACTAAGGCCAAGCAACAAACAACTCTGGATAAAGTTTAAAACTCTTTTGAGCATTAAATACAAGAAATAAAAACTTAAATTAAAGTATGATACAAATAAAGGTTTTAAAGTGTAACTAATCTCAGTTTGTTTGTAATTGTAATGGTGATAAACGAATTACCTGTTTATACCATTGTTGGCGCCATTTTTGTTAAATAAATAAAAAACTTTTCAACTTCTTTAAATTTAAATTCCAATAATTAATTACTAAATTTACTAACAAAATAACTCAACAATTAAACAATAAAACCTAAATTTTCTTTTCTATAATGAAAACGTATCAAATTATTATTTTTATTTAATATAAAACCATTTCAAAAATCAAATTTAAAATTTATTAATAAAGATGCTTACATAGGTCTAACCTTTAGCATAGTTTTAATAACAGATAGTCTGGCCAGTTGGGCCATTTTCGCAAGATTCTATTGTTTTTAAAATAAACAATAAAAGTTAAAATTTTGAATTTATGTTGAAAATTGTTTATTTATTGTGCCCAGACTACCAATAAGTGCACAAAAATTTAAAAAATTGCAAACTCAAAAGATAAACAGTGTTTCGATTATTTCATATTAGATCTAGAATCAGATATATTTTTTTGTAAATTCAAGTTTATCAATAATTTCAGTTCTTTTCTCAATGAAATTGAGAGTTAAAATGCTTCAAACAAATTTACTTTTACCAGTGTATGATGAAATGTAAGTCGAAGCATAAATTCAAGTGATTCATAACAAAGCAGCATTCAATTAGTTTCTCTTTAACACAGCAAATAAATGGATAAACTGATATTAAGCAAACGTGTTCTACAAACAAGTTCATGAATTTTGTTTTAAAAAACTTTTTTATTGTTACAAACAATCTTTGCGGCAACATGTTCAGCAAAGAGGTTCATCAATTTTGTTTTAAAAAACATTCTTATTGTTATTAACGATCTTTGCTGCCTTCCATATATCATAGATTAGCTTTCAAAGTACATATTTTTTAAAGATGATACGAATCTATCATTCAAGTTAATAAAAAGAAGTTATTAGAACTATTTATAGTAATTTATAGTAGCAGATCAAAAAGGATTTTTTTCACAGATCCTCACCTCTTATAGGATAACCTTGCTAATCATATTTAGAAAACAGAAAAAGAAAAAAATTCAATTCAATATTTTGGTTGATACGTATTTAGTGCTTTTTATCGAAGAATACTTAAGTCAAAAAGTTGGCAAAGTTGGCTTAATTGTTGGTAGAAAAAGTTGACGAGTAAATCAAGATTTTTTTGAGGGGTAAAATTATAATACTGATAAAAAATGTAATTTAAAAAATTTAGATGATCTTTGGTCTCTATTATCTGATCTTTGGTCTCTATTATCTGATGCTTTTTTTATTACTAGAAGAGTTAGCATTAAGAAAGTCAACCAAAAAGTTTATGTAAAAATAAGCTGTCAATTGCAGAATTGATTTAAGATGTTGAGGTTTATCTTATTTTTCAAAAAATTGTTATTTTAATTTGACCGAGATGTTTAAAGAAGTGGCTATCAATTTTCTAGACCAAGTAGATTTCTTCTTTTACCACTTTATTTTTGTGTTCACTCATTATCATTATCAAAGGAGCTATAAACTTGCATAAAACAGGAGCTGTAAACTTGCATAAAACCAATTCTATATTGAAAAGAACAAATTTGTTTTGAAAAAAGAAATCTAGAAAGGGTTTTCAAACTCCATCGAATAAATATTAGACATTTAATAAAGGGTATTTTAATAACCAAAAAATTTGTTAAAAAATATATTTGAACTGTATTGCAGTATGATTAAAAGATGCAATAATAAAGTGAAAATCAGATAAAGATGTACAATTTTTTTATTTTAAATAATAATATCATATAATGTAATGAATAAAGCAATTGGTTTAACTACTATAGTTTAATAATTTTTTCTGGATTTTATTTATTAAATTTAGAAATATTATTAAGACTTTAAAAAATATTATTAAGACTTGAGAAAAAAAAAAAGAAAAAAATGAAGAATGATGAATAAAACAATTGCTTCCCCATCCCAAAACCTCAGTCGATGTAGCAGCACTCCACTGCGAGTCAGGCTATTTGTCAGTCGATGTATGTACTGAAGCCCCCAGCAGCAGGCTATTTCAGTATGACGTCAAATTGCTTACCATGGTACGCAATACTATTTGTATATATATATATATATATATATACATATATATATATATATATATATATATATATATATATATATATATATATATATATATATATATATATATCAGTGGTGTACACTGGATTTTTAGGTGTTTGAGTTTTGACACTTGCAGGCATTGTGCAACCTCCAAATTTTAGTATGTTCATGCTTATGTCAATTGAGAATGTTTTGCAAAGAGTTATGGTGATTGGAGCTTGGGGATAATCTTTCTTATGAACTAAAAGCTCTCAATTCATTCTCAACCTTTAAAACCAGTTTATTCTACTTTTTATTCAAAAAATATAGTTAATGTTTATAATTTCTATAATCAATTTTTGTTGTCTTTAGTATTTTTTTATTTATTTCTATTTTATATTTTTTATTGCTTATTGTGATTTTTATTAATATTTACTATTAATAACTACTTTTAACTTTTAATTATTACTAATACTAATATTGCTCTTATTATTGTTATTGTTATTATTCTTATTCTTCATCTTATTTTATTATTAACATCGTTATTTATGTTATTTATATTAGATCGTTATTTTTATGTTATAAAGTTTATTATCGTTATTATATATTATGAAAATTAGCATTATATTTGTTTTAATTAGATATTATTAACATTTGTAGGTGTTTACTTTATATTAGTAAATTTACTATTTGTAAACATCCTTGAATGTAAAAACTTAATTCAGAAATAAAATGATTGATTGATTGACAAAAAAAAAAAAACCATTTTTTAAGCCCACCCAGCCCTTAACGTGGGAGCAATAAATTCTAATATATTTTCTTTAGTATTTTTTTCTAAGTTTATATTCATCAACAAATTTCAAATTTCATGCAATAATCTCTAACTATATATATATATATATATATATATATATATATATATATATATATATATATATATATATATATATATATATATATATATATATATATATATACATACATACATACATTTATATGAATATAGACATATAGACATCAAACGTCATCAAAACATTTCTAAAATTAAAAAAATTAGTTTACTTATTTTTTGAATCCTCATCATTGTCATTAAAACAATCTCAAAAAGAAAAAATTTCATTTCATATATAATAAAATCACCCTATGTAAAAATGAAATATTGACAAATAAAATAAAATATTAGAAGTAAAATATACCATAAAACTGACCAAAGCAGAGTATCTAATTTTATCTAAATATAATTTTCACAAAAATATATTTACATTTCACTTAAATAAGTACAAAAGCATTATGAAATGTGCAGATAATCATTCAGTCATATATATATTCAGAAGATAAATTTTCTTGGGTATTTACAAATAGTAATAAAATAATAATTTTTAAACACTATTTAAATATACATTTAACATTTTAAGTATACAATTATATATATATATATATTATATATATATATATATATATATACACACACACACATACACTAGAATTGGTTATATTTTAAAAACAAGCTAGCTAAAAAATCTAAAATTGCTTTATGTGACCAGAGTGTATGCTAAAATTTTACTTTGGCTTCCATAATAAAACCTTTTTGCAACGGAAATTTCCGTGTTTTTTAAAAGAAGGAAAATTTCCGTTCAATTTTGTTAAATGGGTACTTTTCGTATAAATAACGGAAAATTAATCCGTAAAAGTACGGAAATTTTTAACAGTGTGAAGGTTTAGGTTTTTTCAGGCGTTTTTTTAAATAAGAGTATTTCCATATTTATTTAAAATCGGTTTATAAATTAATTTAACTTATATAAAAAAAATTAAGTTAAATTACACTAGATTTTTAGGTGAAAAAGTCAAAATAAGTAATAAAAACTTTAAATACGCGCGTAGAAATAAATAAAAGATAGTTGTATGAGCGTACAAATAAGAAAAAATTAGTTACACGCGCGTACAAATACCATTAAAAAAAGGTGTTTGATTTTTTCATTTTTTAAAGGTTCTTGATGAAGCAGATAGAATGTTAGATATGGGCTTTGAACCTGAGATAAAGAAGATTTTATTAGACATCAGACCAGATCGACAAACCATCATGACTAGGTACAATTTTTTATATTTGCAGAGACGCAAAATTTTATATGGAAGAAGGTACAGGTTTTATTTGCAGAGACAAAATGTTATATGAAGGAAGATTACAACTCAAAGTCTAAGGTTGTAGTTGACTAGAAATTGTCTATCATCATGAAAATTAATAGTCGAATTTAACTATATAGTTAAATAAAATTAGTAATAATCTATAAACAAAAAACAGTCGACATTCTTTTACAAAATTTATCATTTGCATTATGATTAAATTAATAATAAATTTAATTATTAATTAATACATTATGAATATAAATTAATAATAAATTTAAAAAAATATTCCTATTATTGTTTTAGTGCAACTTGGCCGCCGGGTGTGCAGAGAATGGCTGACAAATATTTACGAGATCCGATACGAATAAATGTTGGATCTCTTGATTTACAAGCCTGTCATAGTGTTTCTCAGCTTGTTGAATTTATAGAACAACATGAGAAGCAGGATAGGGTATTTTTATAAATTATTTGTGTGAAACGATCTTTCATATGGACGATGTTGTAAATTGTGTTTATTTAAAGGTTATGGACTTTATAAGTGCTATGGCACCTGATGACAAGCTGATTATTTTTGTCGGTCGAAAAGTGACAGCTGATGATATTTCTTCAAACCTTGCCATGAAAGGGACTAATATTGGAATTCAATGTATTCATGGCGATAGAGATCAGTCTGATCGAGAACAGGCACTTGAAGATATGAAAACAGGCGCTGCTCGTGTCCTGATTGCTACAGATGTAGCATCTAGAGGACTTGATATCAAAGATTTAACGTATGTAATATTGTGGAAAATATTTTTTATGATAATTGTTTGTTTAATAAAAATTAAAGGCATTTATTCTGTTTTTTTTTGTTTTTTTCACTTAGCCATGTTTTAAACTATGACTTTCCCCGCCACATTGAAGATTATGTTCATCGTATTGGTAGAACAGGTCGTGCTGGTCGATCTGGTTGTGCCCTAACATTTGTCACTCGCGAAGATTGGATGCATGTAGCAAAACTCATTCCTATCATGGAAGAAGCCGGACAAGAAGTTCCTGAAGAACTTATCGAAATGGCTGAGCGATGGAAGAAAACTCAAGATAGAAGAGACGAAGAGAAAAGTGCATACGGTTTAAATTGTTTCTATTTACTTCTATTGTTTCTATTTACTTCTATTGTTTCTATTTACTTCTATTGTTTCTATTGTTTGTGTTATCCATAAACGCTTACTTTTATTATAAAACTTTTTGAGTTGATTGATTTTTTAAATTTTAGGTGGCAGCAGAGGTGGTGGAGGTAATGGTTGCTTTAAATGTGGCGAAGAAGGTCATTTTTCAAGAGAATGTCCTAAAGAGAAGGGTCGAGGTGGCTTTAGAGGAGGATCAAGAGGAGGTTCTCGACGAGGTGGTTCAGATGAATTAAATCATGGTTTTCAAGGTACTCGAGGTGGTAGGAGGAAAGAGCGAGATGGAATAACTATTGGAGCTTGGGATGCCGTTTGAAATCAAAACTAAAATAAAATTTAAGTCAATAAGCCATGTCTACGGATGCAAGTTTTAGGTTCAAAGAACGTTCAAATTTTTGGCAGCAGTTAAAAATTGTTTAAGATGTTTCGATTTGAAGAATCGCACTGTATAAACAGTTTTTGTGATACATTAAATTACCATTTAAAAGTCTTTTGTCTTATCAATTTTCAAAATACAGTGGCGTAACCATTGCATTGATGTCAGTGTTAAATCGTTTTAAATCTGTAATAAAACTGCTAATCTGTTAACCGTAATATTTGACAAATGTAGTTTCATTTTGTAGCTCATTCTATATCTCATATGGTTGACTAACCTTATTAAAAATCTTGAATACGTGCACAAGTTTTTATCGTTTTATACTGTAGAATTTACTTCAAAAACTTGTTATTTTGGATAGCATTTTACATACATAATTACTGAAACTGATAGATGTATAATGCAAAGTTTGTTAAAATAATCTTGTTCATAGCAATATTAAATGGTCTTGAGTTCAAAAAAAAGATTTGTTGGTCAGAGAATTTTTTTAATTAGTTTTATATTTGATTGAAAAAGTTAATTAAAAATTAATTTAATAAAATTTGTTATTGTCATTATTATATATTTTATCAATATTATTTTTATATATCATATCAAATCTATTCAAGTTTAATTTTGAATATTTTTTTTTAATTCATCTTCCTTTTCTGGCTTTGTTTACAATTGAAATTAACAATAGGGCAAAATGGCCAATAAATGTTCGCATCTTTTTTTAAAGGTACTTTTCAGGCTGAAATTTACTCAAAGTTTTTATTTTGTCTCTACCTTTCCCTCTTTCTTTTTCGGATCATTGAACCTGGCTTGCATAGACTCAGGAGAACACAGAACAAAATACTTTTGTTTAGCATTTCTTTTATTTTTTGACATGTTGACATAAAAATTTGGGTATGAGAACACCATGATGACAATAGCACTTTTCAATGGACTTGTTTTAACACATTTAATGATTATTATTATGGGAAGAGGATGAGTTTCGTTTGATAAAGAAAGTGTTTCAGCATCTTTTCTTAATATTCGATCAAAAGAAATTTTACTGATTAAATTTTAATTTATTTGAAAGTCTTTGTATGCAAAGTACAGAAATATCAAAACCATGTAAAACAAAAATTAAAAGCGTTAAACAACTATTTTATAACACTGATGTTGTGTTAATGTTGTGTTATTATCCAGTTGATCTAAATCTACATTCATAATTACTAATTCAAAGTAAAGTTTGTATTACAATCCATTTGTTTTTTAAAAGTTTCGTTTCAGCGATTTTTTAGATTGCGACTTTATGGTGTCCTTTTTGCAAGGATGAGAGCTTAATTTGAACAAATTCTCATTCCCTTATAACTGGTGGACAGAGTTTAAAAAAATAATAATAAGTTAATTTAGTGAATAGCCCTAATCAAAACTTCTTAAAGAATTCTATGTGAACAATCTACACAAGTTTGACTTATTAATATTATAGTTCAGCAAAACATTCATTTTTAGATGACATAAAGGAATTATGTATGATCCATAAACTAAAAATAAAAAACTTAATTCAGGTTAAGAAAAAAGTTAAAATTAAATTTGCGGAAAATAGAATTCGTGAATATACTTATCAAATTCTAGTGCATGCAATTCAATATTGGAATGCAAAGCAACAGCAAACAATTCTCAAAAAAAATCTCTTGATGAAAACATTCCTAAGTGATCCTTTTATTCTCTCTTGATATTTTGAACTAAACTAATTTTAAAAATATTTACAGAGGGTGTTCAATAAAATAATATAATATTTAACACGTATTAAATTTGCTAGGTTTGCGCATGCTCGAAGAACTTTTCCACCCGAATATTCCAAAAAAAAATCTGAATAGAGTTGAAAGACATATGGTTCCCTTTACTACCGGTCTTAAACTGCCAGAAAAAAATAATAAACAGTCTCCAATAAATAGCCTGAATATCAGAGTTAAAGTCTGGGCATTATAATAACATCAATTTTAAAAATATGTTGAAAATTCTTTTATTTTTATGTAAAAAAAGGCGAGCTTGAAGTAACATTTCTTCCCAGTACTTTTTTTGATGGCAAATCCCCAGTTGATGCTTTGTTTATTGTCAATAAAGCAGAAAATCACTTTATAAAATGTCTAACAGACGCTCACTTAAATCTTTTTCCGACACTATGAAAGAACAACAACATATGTTAAATAAAAGCAAAATTCCATTCAACACCCGATGGGAAATTAGCGAGCGACTAGCTAGCTTTATAGCAATTTTCAAGCGATTTTTTTTTTTTTTCTTATTTTATTTTTTCCTGATGTCTATAACATCTTTAAAAATTTGATTTTTAGTGTTGAGTCTATTATAATTTTGAAAATAATTGAACTTTAAATATTGCGATTTTGTAGCAATGTGTCGCTAGCTACATATCGTCACTTTGTAGCTAGCTACAAAATATTTATAAATCTAAAGCTAGTTGATAAAAAATTTTTAGACAGCGATATGACACTAGCTACAATAGCGAGTGGTTCTTTAGCTTATTAAGTTAGCTGTCCTCGTAGCCAAATTGCTGTCTTTATAGCAAAGCGACCGTTTATTAGCATAACGTATCTAATTACAATTATTCAGATAACATACCTTGTAACAGATAGATTTTTAAAGGTTATTTTTGAATAATTTTATGTAGAATTGAATTCTCTATCTCGATATAAGTAGTTTATCTTTGCTTAAAATAAAATTCTAGTAAATAACTTAAAGGTGTATTATAAGTAATGCACGAGTAAACTGTATATAAAGTACTTCAAAGCATTTAAAAATAGACTTAATTATTTTTGTTTTACTTTTTTAACATCTGTTAAGTATTGTAACACATAAGGTTCTTTTTGTTTTGATATTTTTGTTAATTTGTTAACTTACATAACTCCGACATAGTGAACACATTTTGGTTGTTGAATCATGTTAAATAACTTATTAAATTGTATTAATATTTTAAAATGTAATGTATACAGATAATGCTGAATTACTTGTTAAATTGCTTTAGTATATTATTAATAACTAATAAAAATAATAATTGGCAGCAAGGGAAACTTTTGATTGCCTCTAAATATTTTAGAGGCAATCACAAAAAGCATTTTAGAGGCAATCAACACTCGTGCTAAAAACGTAAACAAGTTGGAGGATCCAAACGATTATAATTTTATTGTAAACTTCAAATTGTTGAAAATATATGTGTATCTTTTTGCTGTCATGTCAAGAATGTTTTTCATAAAACAGACAAATTAAATTATCACATGGGTGCTGTTTAAACGTTAAAATTTAAAAGCTTGCTTAAAAGCAGTGTTTTTAATTAACCGTTCTTTATTAAAAATATACTATTAGTAGTATATTTTTTATAATGGTTGAATGTTTAGTTTTCTTTATAAGGGTAAATTACTATCATTAATTACATAAAAAATTTTGATCTGTAATTATATACATGTTGCTCACTTTACAAATACACATAATTACACAAGATTTTCGAATTGAATAAAACACTAATGAATTGCTCCTATGCCCAATATAACTTACACTAAATTGTCCCATATCACTTACACTAGTGTTATCTTTTAAATTTAGAAATAGAAGTTATTAAATGTTGGTAGCTCATCATGCAGTGCATTTGAGAAGGGCATGCTTTCAAAGTAAATATAATTTCAAAGTAAGTATAATTTTCCTTTAAATTTCCGTGTTTGTATATCATAAAGTGTATTATAAGTGTTCTCTTTATTCCTTTCCACTTTATTTTTACATACATATCTTGACAACGTTTTTTTAGGGTTAAGACTGTTTACCTGGTCATTACAGCAAAAAAAAAACTTTAAAATGCTCGTGGCAATATTCTATTGAATGATCAAAACGAAGCCTGATCAAAACGAAGGCGAATGACGTCAACTGTTCGAACATTCGATTCTTGGTTAACAAGTGGAGGAAGAAGTTTAAAAAAATTATAATTTATAAAATCAGTACAGTTATATTATTAAAAGATTTAATCAAATTATTATTTTCTTATTCTCAAGAAGTTGTGTGAAAATTTTACCTTACGTTTGAGTAAATCCATGTAAAAACACGTATTTTAGACGTCGAAATGAGAACATCTAAATAAGGTTATTTAAAGACGTCATTTGGCCTTTTCATTTAGCAATAGGTTCTGCACATCCTAGATTCACGTATTTTAGACGTCTAAAAAACACGTCTTTATTCCGTCCTAAAAAGACGTCATCTGGCGTTGCCATTTAGAACCAGTTCTGGACGTCCTAAAAAGACGTCTTTTCTGGGAAAGCAAATTTACCTTTTTCTCAAGAACAGTATTTCCTTTATCGCAATTTTTGTGCAATCTAACTTGTTTTTTTAAGATGTCTTGAGAAGCAAAATAGAGATGGCAAACTTTGCATATTCGCAAACCTTTTAATTCTTTCGCGTCTTTAAACAATTGTTTCCTTATTTCAATCGTTCTTTCACTAAGTCTTTGTTTGGCGATCAAACGCCTGAACTAGCAAAGTTTGCCATTAGAACCTTGAGCTTGACTTGCAGTGCTTCTGGGTGTGAATGGAACTAGAGAGAGCATTTTAGTTTTTATATGTTTTCGATTTTTATGTTACTGAGCTTTAATATTTTAATGAATAGGTGCATACAAAGAGCGAAACTCAATAATTTGGTCTACATTATGTTCAATTTGAAACAAAAGCATAGGGAGTTAAAGAAGAAAACAATTGAAGACCCCGTTAATTTGGATGATGTAGACTCTGGTAATGAATGGATCTCAGATCTCTGAGATCATGAGGTGGAGGCCTATGAAGATCTTGATACAAATATAGCTCTTGATGACCCTCTTGAAGTTGAAGAAGGTGACGGATCTCAACATTCAAAGAAAAGAAAGGAAGTAAAACAATGGTATAAGATATTAATTTGAATATGTTTTTTTATTTGTATTTTAACTGAAATAAATATATTTTCTTTAGGTGATGTGTATTTTAACTGAAACAAATATATTTTCTTTAGGTGATGTGATTTAGAAGATGTTGAATTGAATTTCGCGGATGATTTCCTCGAGGATCCTAGGGGTCGTCCATAAAGTATGTCACGCTATTTTTTTCAATTTTCAACCCCCTCCCCCCTCCTGTTACAAACTGTCACATATTTCTGTATCCCTCCCCCCCTTCTAAAACAAAAAAAACAAACCATTACGGAATTTTCAACATTCTAACAACATAGTAATAGCTATTTAACAGACTCAATTTAACTAATTTGAAATACCTTCTTAATTTATTGGGAAAAATCGTCATCATGAAATAAAATAAAAATAGTTTATTTGAACCTTATGTTTTTCAAATTACAAATTAAACATTAATTTTATCTATCTATTTATCATTATCCATCCACGGAGATCTGAAATGTTCGTCTATAGTTAGGACAGGCATTTCTGATGTTTTTTCTAAATCTTCATCTGGAATAACGATTCCCGAAACATCAACTTCATCTTCATCCAGCCACTCTATATCTTCATTTTTTCGAGCAGAAACTACTATAAGCTCTCTTAGTCTTCTAGCGGCTACTCTTATTGGTCTGATGTTTGAGTTTTCTCAACAACAGTATTTCCTTTATCGTAATTTTTGTGCCATCTAACTTGTTTTTTTGAGATGTTTTGAGCAGCAAAATAGAGATGGCAAACTTTGCATATTCGATTAAATAGTCAAGTCTGTACTGATGAACAAAAGAGATCATAAGGATGAACTTGGAAACTTCCTGCCGATCTTGCCATTATATCATCTATTTTAATACTATGTGAAACAAAAAGTGATAGAAACTTATGAGACTCACTGTCTCCTCTTTTGTAAGCTTGAAGACCATTACTTGTTTGAATAACTGGTATTGGAGGACATAATAATTGCGAAGGAACAACATTGAAATATGAGCTTCTAATTTTAAAGCAACATTTTACATCTTGACATTTGACAATTTGAGTAAAGTATTGACTTGTGTGGACGTGTTCAGAAAACCATTTTATATCTTTAGTTATCAATTCTCCTGCATCTAGCTCAGATGTCTCTGGATCAACAAACTTGGCAACTGTTGGAAACTGGTCAATAATAACTTGTGACCATATTTCAGCTATCTGTTTGTCCAGCATACTTGAAATTTCTTCTCTTCAAATAATAATCTATTGTTCTGCCCTGTGAATTGAGATGGCTACCATAACGTTCATGAGGCAACATAACACCAGAAAGTTCTCTGCTCAATGGAGGAACTCGACGTTCCACTCTATTGAAAGCACTTCTAACTGGCGCATTGATTGCAATAAACAAGACGCCTAAATTATTTTTAACAAAATGGTGGATACGAACATCTATGACTTTTTGATAACGTGGATTTTCATCTGGTCCTCCATCCACTGTAAAGACAACAATAGGCTTAATCGTCTTATCTTTGCCGTCATTTGTTATTGCATCAAATTCGTCTAATTGTAACAATCTCTCAAAGTCTAAACCATGAGCAAGAGCAGAAGAAGACGAATGTTTGTCTGATCGGATTGCAATATAAGTTAGACCGTAATAAGTAACAACGTCTAGTTTACCAAGTCCATTTTTTTTGATGCAAACTCCAGCATATACTGATGGAATAAGCTTATGTCTTGCTGCAACAACCCAATCATGGTCGGGCAAATCGATGCGATATTCAACATTCATAAGCAATGGAGCTTGTTTGTTTGCAGCTGTTAACCCAATGGGGACTCGCGCTTTGTCACCTTTGCTAATAAAACAAAATATTTTTGGACCCAGTATAGACGACTACTCTTCCAGATGTCTCAAATTTGCTGTACAGAATTTTCTATCGATGCTTGGAGTGGGACTCATTCTGAGATCGGATCAACTTGACTGCTGCTGTTGATATGTTTCTTTTTCCTTCCAAAGTTGAACTTCGTCGTGGTATTAGTCGAGTGTAAACGGTGTTCCTACTTACCTGTAAAGTTGAACTTCGTCGTGGTATTAGTCGAGTGTAAACGGTGTTCTTACTTAACCATCTTTATTTAATCATCTTTAGTCAATTCATCTAGTGTTTTAATACTGCGATACATATCACTTTGTCGTCTTTCATGTGCAGCTTTTTTTTTTTTTTTAATTTGCACTCACTCCCAACAAGGCTGCAAGCAACCACTATTAAGTTGGGAGTTACTAGGAAAAAAAAAAGAACAGAGTTATAGAGCAAGGAAACAGTTGACAGAAGACTTGAAAGGTTGAAGGTTGTATGAGTCAGGAAAACATGAAGATGGGAGAGAGTTCCAAAGGATTGAAGTGCGGGGAAAAAAGCTAGATGAATAAAAGTTTTTAGAGCATGGGGACAGATACAGTAAACGAATGAGATTTAGCTGAATGACGAGTAAAACGAGAATGAATTTTAGTTGATGGAACTAGAGATGATAACTCCTTTGAGCAGTGACCATGATAGTATCTGTAGAAAAGAGAAAGAGATGCAACTTTACGACGATGGGAAAGAGGTTCAAGCTTAGCAGATAGTCCAGGTCCAACAACATTTACAATGCGTTTTTGGACCTTGTCAAGAAGAGAAAGTGAATCGTTAGAAGAACCAGCCCAAATATGACAACAGTACTCCATACAGGGACAAATAAGAGATTTGTAGAGGTAGAGAATGGAATCAGAAGTAAGGAAATGGCGAGCACGATAAAGAGAAGCAACCTTAGCAGAAGCTAATTTAGCAATCGATTGTATATATGGTTTCCATGAAAGGTCAGTAGTAAGCGATAATCCAAGAAGACGTAAAGAGGAGGACTCAGTAAGAGGGTTGCCATTCATTAATATAGGAATGTTGACCATATTACGGTAGTTGTTTGCAGTAAGCAATTGGGTTTTTTTAGAGTTGAAATTCACAAGCCACTGTGAACCCCAATCTATTACTGAAGTGAGATCAGATTCAAGATCAGCTGCTTGTTCTAGGCGATCGAAAAGAAAGAGACTTTTTGTCAAGACAGGAGTATAAAGTTGAGTCATCAGCAAAAAGAGCTACTTTAGATGAAAGGTTGTCAGGAAGATCGTTTATGTAGATAAGAAACAAAACAGGGCCCAGGATGGAACCTTGGGGAACCCCAGAAGTTACTGGAAATAAAGAAGAGTGTTGGCCTTCATGGATGACTTTAATAAACCGGTTAGAAAGAAATGATTTGATAATCTCAAAAACTTTCCCAGAAACACCATATGAAGTAAGCTTATGGAGAAGACCAGCATGCCAAACTTTGTCGAAAGCTTTAGATATGTTGAGAGCAATATGATCCAGCTGATCCATGTAAAGCAATATCAACAATGGCTTTCAGGAAAAGTGGTTGATTTCAACAGAAGGTCGGCCTGTTTTATCTTTTGCTTTCAAAGCATCACAAACTCCAGCATTCTCTGCACTAACTTTAGCTAGAATTTCTTTTTTTTTTTCTTTAGTTTTTTTCTGTCTTGCTTGTTCTTTCTTTTTTTTAACAAACTTTTCTCCAACATACAGGGCCGTCTCGAGGGGGGGGGGGGCGTAGGGGTACTTAGCCCCCCTACGAACTTTTTTTTTAAGATAAGTTAGTGGGACACGGACACGGCAACCCCCATTAGAATCTCTTCGGGACGGCCTTGCCAACATATCTACTTTTCTTCTTTTCTCACTAAGCTCTGCTTCTTGATCATTTGTAATAATACCACTGTCTTTCTTTTATGTAATCCAGCTAAATCACTTATTTTTAAAATGCTTTAAAATTTACTTATTTAAACCCTCCATTTATAATTACAATTTGGAATCATAAACTTTTATAATTATTATTTTTGTTATGCCTTTGTTTTTTGGGGGTGATAAACTTAGAATGATTTTACTTCAATGTTGTTTTCATTGTTTTTAAATTTTTTCTAAAAAAAAGAGTTTTTCTCAAACAAATTGAAGCTTACGCCTTACAATTGAAGCCTCGCCTCACCTAAAGGGAAACTGCCTCAATACGCCTCACGCTTTTTTAAACCTTGATTATTGATTTGTTTTTCTCAAATTTATTTAATTTTAAGTTGTTTTTTTTGACAACTTTTCCGCTTATTATGTTAGATAAATAGTAGAATAAAAAATTCATTTAAAATATTTTTCATCAGAAAAATAATAGTTTTTAGTATTATTAAAATTTTTTACTTAAAATTTTATTTCAAGTAAAACATCGCTTTCGAAAATGCAAACACATGAATTTTAGTATTTTTAAAATGCGAAAAACTGTACACTACATTGAGACGTGAAAATTTTTTTAAAAAAAGTGTAAAACTAAACACTGTTGTATTAGAGTTTTATTTGTATTGAAATGGTAATCATGTTATTCATAATATTTCGGAATATTTTGCCTCGGTACTGAAATACAAAAACTACCATAAACATTATTTATCCAAAAATGCTGCAAAAATTAAAAAGTGTACTAAAGCATATATACATTTAATTATACATCATTCTGTTATATAAACAAACACAAAATAACTATTCATATTTACTAAACAAAAAACTTAATGCTGTATTTGCAACAAAATTATCCTGACTAATTAAAGTTATTACTTTTAAAATTAAATAAATCAGTCCGACTTTGTGCTTGTTCAATCACAAAAATTATTTCTTTAATCCTTTCGAACTATTTTTTTTACCAGGAGAACTAACTTTATGATCAGTTGGTTTCCCTGCATTTTTCGTCGAGTTAGAACTTAAATTTAATGAACTGTTGGCACTACTCAAGTTTGAAGCAGACGTACTTCTACTAGATATCCCTGCTTTTTTTAAACGAGAAGAACTATCAACATAATCACCACTTTGATTACGGCTATCTTGAGATTTCTCGTTTTTAATTGATCCCGAGTTAGAACTTAGATAAGAGCCTTCTCGTTTTATTACATTAAGGCGAGAACTCTCTTTACTGTCAGCAATATTTTTTCCATAATTTGATGTGAAAGATTGCATACTTTGACTTGAATTGTCAGGCATAACGAACTTCTCCCGAAGCTCAACATTAGTACGACCTTCAGCTACACAAACATACAATTTAAAACTTATTATTGCATACCATTATTATAAAAAAGTAAAAAAAAAACAAATTAGATAGAAATAAAAACATTAATTACCCCGACAAGGGTCATTCTTCTCTAAAAAATCTAACAAATTTTCCCATCCGCCTCCAACTCGAACCATAACAGCACTACGCAAAAATCGTACTAATCGTAGCTTATGCTGTTCTCCAAACACATATTTTCCCTCTCCAACTTTAGACATTTCAAATTTTTTTGGACAACAAACGCATTTATCAACTTCTGTAGCAATAATATCATGGATTTGCTCCGATTCTGTAACAGGTTTATCTGGTTTTCGCTTACGTCCTTTAAGAGCATCCATAAAATCTTGATAAAAAACATGATTACGACGTTGAACTCGATCAAAAACAAGAACAAGTTCCCATCTTTCTGCACCAAAAGATTGATCAAGAATGCCCTGAATAAATTGCTCACGTGTAAGATTGTTATCCTTATCATTACCATACTTTCTCCACATATCGAGAACTCGAGATTTTGAGTCTCGCAACCAAGCATTGTAGCGATCTCGCCACTCCTCCCATTTAAAATGGGCAGCAGCCTTGCGAATGCGAATTTCATCTAGCTGACCTTGTAACAAATTTTTTCTACCTATCACTGCAAGCCAAAATAATTGCCACCTTTTGCATAAAAGCTCAACTTTTGGATTTGTAAAATCACGTTTGTCAGATCCTCTAGAACGAGGTGTCATTGCATATCGCTGCTGATCACTTAGTGGCTTTCTTTTTGCTTTTTTAACAACGTTTTCATAAACTAATTGTTTTGCTTCAATATCTTTTTGAAACATAAAATGTTTTTCCAACATTTTTGATAAAACTTCAAAATCATCTGGTAAAGGCTCACGTTCATTTTCTTGAAAAGCAGCTTCTTGTTCAGAAATCCATTTTAAAAGTTCAACAGTAACAGTTTCTTCTTCCATTAAAATAACTAGGGTTTCAGTAAGTTTTGACTTTCTTTCTTTAGCCCATCCAGAGATATTGCTCATTCGTTTTTTTAAAAGTGTCATTTGATGGTGTATGTTTGACTGTGCAAACGGATGGCAAAATCGAAGAATAACTCCTCCTTTTTGAAAACATGCATTTACTTCTGTTTCATGAGAGTTTAAATTTTTTTCAAACAAATAATAAACATCAACTTGCTTCTTTAGTTCATTAAGCTCATCAGCAATTGGACCATTCTTTTTTAACTCATCCTCTAGCACTACCAGATTTTGCATACATGCAATCCAAGATTTTTGAAAATTATTTGCTAATTCATATGCATTTTTTACACGAGCTTCTTTAGTCAATGACATATGATTTACTGCTTCCCACTTATCTTTCAAAGTTTCCAAATAATTTTCAAGTTCTACAGCGTTTTCAATGTTACCACTTGTAAGCATGGCTTGCCCAGTTTTAACAATGGATTCATATATTTTAAATTTTTTCAGGAGTTCTTGTTGAAAAGAATTATGATTATCTACTAACAACTTTACAGTTTCAGGATCACCCATAACAGCTACTTCATTGGTAAGAATATAATCTGCAGAATCTAGCCATTCAATCAATGCTTGTACTGCCTCTAAGAACATACCATGAAAAAGCAAAGCTTCTTCTAGACGATGCTGGCGGTCTAAATATAGGTCAAGGACAGACTCCCATCTTAAACGTAATGCTTCAACAGTTTTTGAAAGAACAGGTCCTTCTCCACATTGACTTTTTGAAATCAAAAACATACCCGCTTTTACAGTAGCATTTAATTGAGCTTGCTTTAGCAAAATCAGTTTTTGATTTTCTTTGTTTTTACGAATTTGCAGTTTTACTGAATTTGCATCTTTGCCAATTGATGGATCAATTAATTTTTCTAAATCATCTAAGAAACCATACAGCTGAGAACTACCTTCTGAAAAGATTAAAACTTGCTCATAGTTTGATGCTAACAATTTTTTTCGTTCTTTTAACTTTACTGCAACTTCTTTCCAATGTTGAGTCAGTTCTTCTATTTGACTGCTCAAAGAGAATGCTTCACTAGGAGAATAAGTTGGGCTCATAACATTCATTACCTCTTTTAGTCTTGATAAACATTTTTGCTTTTCAAAAACTGATGACGACAACTCTTCTACCTCACACATCTGCTTCTTAATTACTTCCATGTTGGTGCTAACAGGACCATATGATGTAATAGCATCATATACTTGAACAAACCAGATTTCAATATCATGTTTTAAATTTTGATACAGTTCAGCATTCTTGAGCGAATTTTGAAGAAAATCAGATTTAGACTGGGATAAGTCTTTTAATTCATGCCAGTCTGTTTTTAAGTTTACTAAAATTTTTTGCACTTCAAATTTATCACTTACGCTCTTATTATTTGATTCCATCATGGTTAATGTTTCAACAACAAATTCATAATTTTCCTCATGTTCTAAAAACATTGTAATAAACTCAGAATGTCTTTCAAGATGAACACTTATACTTTCTACATCACTAAATTCAATTTTTCTTTTTAAAATTACTTTTGCCTCAATAAGCCAAGCAGTTAGATCTTGTAACTGTTCATAAAACTTATGCGTTTCTTCTAAAGCATCATTTAAAATTTCTTCTTTTTGTTGAAGTAACTGTTGCATTTCACACCAGGCTGTTTTAAGAATATTTAGTTTGATCTCAATATTTTGTCTGTCAGTAATAATACATTTTTCCACAAAACCTTCAGCAATTTTAATACAAGAATCAGCAATGTGTCTACGAGAATCAACATCTTTTTTAACAGATCTAAATTTTGACAATTCAATTTCAATAGATTGTTTATTCTTAGGTACAGATCGCTCAAGTAGAACTAATCTGGTTTGTGTAATCCAAGTAAGAAGTTCTTCAATAACAATATGATAATGACCAAGAGATAACAAAGTATCTTCAAGTTCTACCTGACACTGATTAGAGCTCTCTACAAGAGTATTCCATCTTTTTTCTGTCAATGCCAAATGTTCACGAATTTTCTCAGCATCTTCTTCACCAACTTTCTCAACTAAAGAAGATCCTTTTTGATTTAAAGCAATTATTTCAGATTGATGCTTAGTTAAATCTTTGTAAAATATTCGTTGCATATTTAACTTTTCTCTAATATCACTAAGATCACAACATTTACTTCCCTGAATTAAATTTTGGTTTTCAGCTTCTGACAGCCATGCTTCAATGCTATCTTTATCTTGATTGTAACTAATCAAGATATTTTTTAATTGAAGTAAACTATCTTTGCGCAAATTCCAATGTTTGTTAAGAGTATCCCATTGGTCAGTAACGTCATTTAAAACCTTTAGAACTTCAGCATTATTTTCAGTGGATGCATTTTTAATAAGAACCAAAGAAGCATTAGACAAATCAATCAAAGTTTTACAATTTTCTTCTAAAACCTCGTGTAAGTTTTGGTTTTCAGAAATCATTAAAAGTAAAATATCAATATTGGTTGTTGGTTCACCCTGCTCATCAATCTTCGTTTGCATATCTAAAATAATATCTTTTAGTTTTTTGACCCCACCCCAAAAACTTTTAGCTGCATCTAAAGAGTTTATTAAATCTCCTTTGTATACAGTTAGACTATTGATAATATGCTTCCACAAACTATTAAGTTTACTCTGTCTTATGAGCAGAGCAGGAGATTTTGATAATTCTTCTTGACTAAGTAAGTCAATAGATTTATTTAAATTTGATATAGTATCTTCCAAATCATTGATTTCGTTTTCTTGTTCAGTTACTTTTAGAATATTTTCTGCAATTAAATTTTCAATAACTGGTACTTCAACCCATTGCTTTAACTTTTTTTTAATTATTCCACACTTTTCAATAGCATCTTCAAGTTTACTCCATAGTATTTCAATCTCTTTGTCTGTTTTATCTGCAGTGATACTTTTTTTTATCTTCTCAAAAGACAACTTGATGTGTTTCCAAAAAGTATCATACTCATCAATCATTTTAATAATGGTAATTGAGTCAATATTAGATCTCCCATTTTTAATTTGAATGCTTAATTCTTTCAAATTTTCTAAATCAGACATTGATTGCAATAAATTTTTTTCAACTGTGTCTAGTGTTTCTTTATGTAAATTAAGATTGATTCCTTCCTCTTTCTTTATAGCATCTAAATTGGTTTCAGTATAAGATAACTTTTGGCTAAATTCTTTGCTTAGGTCTGAGAATTTTTGAATAAGCAAAAGGTCTTCCATAAGTTCATTTTGTCGTTTTGTTAAATTTTCATTTAATTTGAGCTCCATAAGTTTTAAAGAATCCAATTTAGCTTGAACATTATTTCTTTCTATATCTTTGGAAGTTAAACATTCAGCTGATTCATATATGTTTTTGAAACTATGATTCATTGATGAAACTTGAGAAGATATAGCTTGATGAGCTAAAAGCTGTTCTTTTACTTCATCAGGGTTAATGTAAGATGGCTTTTTAACTTCATAGTCACTCAACATTTTATCTAACCATTCAAATAAACTTTCTACTCGGTCATAAAACTCTTTTAATTCTAAACTTGATTTCTGCAAAGAACTTAAGTTAGCTAAATTTTCTGTAATAAGTTTATGATATTTTTCTTCAATGTGATTATAAATTTCCTGAGGTTCAATACACTGTGATATTCCATTTAATTCTTTAACAAGGATTTTTATTTCATTTAAAACAGATTTATGATTCTCCATATCTTTCTGCACTATTATCACCTTTTGAATTTCATTTTGGAATTCAGCAACCTGAACTTTTATGTCATCAACCCATTGATCAAACGCATTTGCTCTATTTGTCAAGTCATTAAACAGGTGTTCATAATTTGTGATACATTTTTGTTTAGTTAACCAGTGATTAAGAATTTTTTCATAAAGTTTAACAACAACAGATGACTTTTCTTTAATCTTTAGGTAACAAGTTGGTGTTGAAAAAGACTTTAGATCTTGTTCATGCAAATAAACTTGATTTATCATAGATTCTATAAATAAAACTTCATTCAACATTATTTCCACATGCTGTTTTTGTTCTTTTAAAGTATCACTATTATCACAACTAAGTAAATCTTTATCGACATTTACTTTTATTTCTAAGACATCAAGTTTCTTAACTATTTCACCTAGACATGTATTTAATATTTGAACTTTTTGTAATGTTTTTAATAGAAGATTTTCACGTTCATCAATTTTTTTATTCAAGTTATTCCAAGTGTTACTAATACTCTTAAGGTCTGCTTCAATATTTTTTTTCTTTCCACAATCGTTGGTTGCTTTTAACAAATCAATTCCTATTTTTTGTAATTCTGTAAAATTATGTTCATGATCAAAAAACATTTTTTTCAAAAGTTTCTGCTCCTGTATTTGAGCTAGCAGTACGTTTTCATCTGCAGCATTAATGGCATCTTGATTCTCAACAAACTTAGAGTTTTCCTCAAGCCAAACAGATAAAGAATTTAAAAAGTCATTTAGTTTCCCACTTTGCTGCAAAGAAATTTCCAATTTACTTTGCCTATTAAATAAATCAATAGATACTAATGCCACTTTGTCATTTAATGCCTGTAACAATGATTTAGCTTTTTCTAACGACAGTTCCGGATACTTGTTTCCAATTTTTTTTTCATTAATATTCAATTTTGTTACAGATTCTTTTATTCTATCTAACTCAGTATTTAAATCTTTAACTTCTTGAATTTGTTTATCATTAACATCTTTGTCATTGTTATTTATGTCTAAAAATGATATTTTATTCTCCAAGTTCGTTAATTTTGCAGAAACTTCATCAAATAATCCGAAAAAAGCACAACACTTATCTTTTAATTTATTTAGCAATTGTTCTTTTTCTACAATTTTAGTTTTAAAACTCTTAATCTGTTTTTCAAGTGAGCAAATGCCCTCAAAAAGCTCAATGTCCACCTCCTTGTAGCTAAAGAAAGAATTATTTGTAAGATTTTCCACATGTTCTTCCACTATGTCAATTTTGAATTTACATGTATTCAAAATTTCTAAGTGACTGGTAATAGCTTCAGCAGAAAAAATAGAAGGCTCACATTGCAAGATATCTGTTTGAATTGCAGAAAAATCATCAACAATTTTTTCTTTCAAAAGCAAGGCATTATCCCAGTAGTTTAATAAATTTTTCAAGTCATTTCTTTTTTCAGAAATTAAAGTTTGCAAATTTTTTAATTTTAGAGATAAATCATTTAGATCATTATCTTGAAAAGAATTGTTAACTTTCTTGATATCTGCACAAATGACATTTAACTCAGAAATACTAACAAATAACTCATTTGTTTTTATCTCTATATCATTTAATTTATGATTCACTTCTGTGATTTGAAATTTGTTCGCTTTAAAAATGGTTGCATCATACACTTCTTTTTCAATTTCTTTTAGAACTTTTGTAGACTTTAATAGAATATCATTAAAAAAATTTATTTTTTGAAACATTTTGTCTATCTCAGATTGTTCTTCAGTGCACCTTTTTTTAAGTTCAAAGTAATGGACTTCAAACTTATCAATACAAATTTGAATATCAAGAATATCATTTTGGCAAATTGACTCTAAACTGGCAATTAAATCCTTTATCTCCACAATATCTTGATAGTGCACTTGTAAACTTTTAGTAACATCCTAAAATGATAAAAATTTTATATATATATATATATATATATATATATATATATATATATATATAAATATATATATACATAAATATATATATATATATATATATATATATATATATATATAAATATATATATATATATATATAAATATATATATACATAAATATATAAATATATAAATATATATATATAAATATATATATATAAATATATATATATATATAAATATATATATATATATATATATATATATATATATAAATATATAAATATATATATACATAAATATATAAATATATATATATATAAATATATATATATATATATAAATATATATATATATATATATATATATATATATATATATATATATATATATATAAATAAATATATATACATAAATATATATATATAAATATATAAATATATATATACATAAATATATATATATATATAAATATATATATATATAAATATACATAAATATATATATATATATATATATATATATATATATATATATATATATATATATATATATATATATATATATATATATATATATATATATATATATATATATATATATATATATAAATTGATTAATAAGTTAAAATTTAAAAACAAAATAATTTCAACTAATTTATTTTATTTAAAATAAATTAGTTGAAATTATTTTAAATAATTTTATTTAAAATAAAATAATTTTAACTTTATTTAATTGTAAAAAGTATTTCAGAAACTTACATCAACTTTAGTTTGGTACAAATATAGGTCATCAGCAACACAAGGGATATCCACAAGAAAGCAATCAACTTGCTTTTGTTTTGCAATCAAAAACATTCCCATATTTTTAACTTTTAAATCTAAATCTGCAGCATTGAAATGCACACTTTCTAACTTTGTAATTTCATGCAAAACTTTATTATTTACTGATTCCCATAAATCTTTAAGTTCATCACTTTTACTTTTCAAAACAACTAGCTCTGCAGAGTTTTCCATGTTAGCCATCAACACATTGAGATTTTGCAATACTTCTTTACAAGTTAATTCTTGATTTTCAATATCATTTTTAAGGTTCTAAAATAAAAACAAAATAAAAATACCTATTTATATTTGAGAATAAATTTAAAATTCATTTTTTATTCATGTTATAAAAAAAATTACCTGAAGAGAATAAATATTTTTTCTAATATTATCTGGGTTAATAGACAAATCTTTGATAATATGTTGATCTATGTTTAATTGAATAGCTTTCAGTTTATAAAGAAGATTTTCTGCTAAATCTTGCAAATCACCACAAGATTTAAGTTTAGTTCTCAATTTTTGTTCACAGGAGTCTGCTAAACTTTCATTTATTTTTAATAATTTTTTTGTATCTTGTAATTGACTTTGCAGTCTGTCATATGTAGATTGGTCTTTATTTCTTCTTGCAAATATTTCATCAGCTAATGCTTCTGCTTGTAGAAAATCATTATAAACATTTTTCAATTCATTTTGAATATCATTTATTTCACTTAACTGAGTTTTTATTATTTCTCTAGTAGAGCCAGTCGAGTTAATAGCATTACTATTTTTAATTAGTTCATCACTTTTCATTTTTGCAGAAAATAGGATATTTTGAAACTTAACAACATCATTAGAAAATTTCTCTATATTTTCAAGCATGTTTTTTATCTTAAAAATAGCATCACACACCTTTTTCTCAACAGACATCACTGTTTCATTAATTGTTATAATATTCACATTTTGGTTGTCAATTAAAATCAATTCATTTCCCATTTGTTTTAAAAGATCAATGTCTAACTTTTTATTACTAATATCAGTAAGAAACATTTGTAACACATCTTTCTCAATATTAGCTTCCTCAACATCATGTGGTTTGATTTTATCACATGTAGAATGAACTTCAGAACATAATTCTTCGATATTGTTTTGCATAGTTTTGAAAATTTCGATTTTTTCTTGCATTTTTTTTGCTCTATGGCTTATATTAAGCAAATTATTTTCTAATCCTTTGAACTGCATAAGAGTACAATTTACTATATCAGATATATCCTCAATATCACATTCAGCTTTTTGTTCTAATTCACGAAAGCAATCATTGAAATCTTTTATGATTGGTTTCTTTACAGCAACCTGTGCAATCATCTCATCAACACTTGATATTTGTTTCAACAATTTATTAGGTTTAACAGGTATACTAGTTAATACATCACAAGTTTTTTTAGCATTATTTAACCATGGAACAACAATAGAAAATAAACCTTCAAACTTTTCAGATAAATGAACAACTTCATTAAGACATTTTTCTCGCTTATTTACACTTTGCTTTATTTCAAACCAGCGGTTAAAAATGGCTGTTTTATTCACATCCGCTGTATTTTGATCACCAACATTTTCAAAAAAGACCTCAAACTGTAATGATTTTAATTGTACATCTTCAACAAGATTCTTTTGATTTACTAACTGTTGACAATTTATATCATTCTTGGCAGAAATTGGCTTTTGTTTTTTAAGTTCATTCTCAGTTTTAATTAGCCATTGAGTACACTCACTTTCGTCAAATGAATATTGTTTACAAAAGGTTAGCGATACAAATAATTGATTTTCAAGTTCACTTAGCTTTTCAGATATATCGTCCATAGGTTTTTCAACCATTTTTAACTGTTTTTCAACTGATGGAAAGATTATTTTATAATCATTAAAGGAACAGTTTTTAATCATTTGAGCTTCTTTTAACATCAACACATACTTTCTGTGATTTTTTAGATTGTTCTGAAATTTTTGAAATAAAAAAAATAATTATTAACTGTTTACTTTAGCAATTAAATAAAGGAAAATAGTAACATATATATATATATATATATATATATATATATATATATATAATATATATATATATATATATAATAAATAGTAAATAACTTTTAAGGAATTTTAGACAATTCTAATACAAACTTCAAAAAAAAAATTAGTACTTAAAAGTTTATAAACGAATTTTTTTTTTCAAAACAAGAAGAAATTACCTGAATTACTTCAATTTGCTTATTAACATTCTCAATATCTATTTTAGGCATCACAAAACTTTCAATAAAATGCTGACATTCGACAACCCATGCTTTAATTCCATCAATAAGACTGTTGAAAATATTAACTTTATAACAATGCTCATTGATTATGTTCACTTTTCCTTTTAATTTGTCAATCACCTCAAAATAAGAATCATTTAATGACTCTAATGTTCTTTCAACATTTTCTGAATTGTCAAGATAACCAATCAATTTTAGCCCAACTCTATTAGTGGATTTTAAATCAGATTTTCGATCCTCCAACTTGGCAATGAGATCCTGGATGTTGAAAATAAAACTTTAGCAAAACAGAAAATGTTAAAAATAAAACTTTAGCAAAAAAAAACTTTAAACAAATCAACCTACCTTAAGTAACTTAATTTGTTCATTATCAACATTCACTTCAATTGGCAACAGATTTCTATCCAATAAAACACTTGATGTGATTAATTGTTCTATTGGAGCCTTTAATTCCATAAAATTTTCATAACATAATTTAACAGTAACCATAGTATTGAGTTTTTCAGAAATCTTATTAGCCAAGCTTTTGAAACTTTTTCTTAAATTACTAAGATTAATAGCAACATTAGAGCACAGTTTTTCGTCATTTTTATTAACTTCAATTATAACAGCTGTATTTTTCTCTGCACAATCAATATCAGCCTTATATTTTGTCAACTGAATTTCAACCTCCTATAGTGAGAATTATAAACAAAACTTTTAAAAAGTACACTCTTAAACACTAAATGTGTATGACAGCTCTTAAACACTAAATGTGTATAAAAGGTTAACTAAAGACTCATGAATATTTGAAAAATACCACGATCTCAAAAACTATAAAACTGTATAAAAATTTCAAAATAAATAATCATTTTATATAGGAAATGCCTTCCAATGTAAAATGATTATTATCATTAAAATAATAGAAATATTATAAAACCATTTGAAGAACTTTATATATATATATATATTTATATATATATATATATATATATATATATATATATATATATATATATATATATATATATATATATATATATATATATATATATATATATATATATATATATATATATATATATATATTAGAAACCCATTAAATGTTTAATCTCAGATAATAATTTTTATAAAGATAAAATATTTAAAACCCAGTTTCATTTTACTATTTAGGTCACATCCAGTGAGTTAGCAGCATAAATATATGAAGCATTACTATTTGCATGAAAAATATTTATCACGGCAAAATATTTTGTGTCAAAATATATTATATTTTGTTAGTTATAAAACTAATTTTTTACATTTGTGAACAAAATTTTATCTTAAATTTTTGTTTACATACCTGAAGAACATTAATTTGGTGTGAAATATCTTCTAGAACAAAGCAGTTTTCTTTATTCAGAGCAGAAGAACTTTGAATAACAAGGAGATTTTCAGAAACTTTTGCAATAATTTCAAAAAGTCTTATTACAGCAGCTTTATTTTGTACAGTTGTATTACTTAATTCTAAAAGTTTACTTATTAATTCATTAATAACGCTGATATCTTTAGCAACTCTTTCACGAGCAAAACTATTTTCAACATTCAATTTACAAAATGATTCAACAACATCTTTTAAAATGCAAACAAGCTCGGATTTCTTCATCTTCAATGTAGTTGAGTATTTCTAAAAAAAAGGACAATCTTCATTTCTCTCTTTCTCTCTCTTCTTTCTCTCTCTCTCTCTCTCTCTCTCTCTCTCTCTCTCTCTCTCTCTCTCTCTCTCTCTCTCTCTCTCTCTCTCTCTCTCTCTCTCTCTCTATATATATATATATATATATATATATATATATATATATATATATATATATAGGGCTCGAAATAAGCGTTTCACGATACTTTCGCGATTAGTTTTTTCTTAAAACATATTTTTGTGATTGGTTTACTTTTTTAGTTGTTTATTCACTTTTTTTCTAATTTAGCTTTTCTAATTTTTTTGGCAATTCTTAAAAAGTAATGTTTTCCTAGTAAAGTACATCACGCAAAGTTTGTCTTTTGAATAGAAGCATGATCGTTTGCTCTTTCGCGCAGAAATTTTTATTCAACCTAAAGCACTTTTTAATTTAAATTACTTTAAGCGTGGAATGCAAGAAGCAAACTTGAGTCAAGCTCGACTTGAACTTGGCTTTGTAATCAATAGCGGCAAAGTATTTTTTGAGGGGAAAAAACATACTCTGTCGCTATTGGTTGCAATGTAAAGTTCAAGTCGAGCTTGACTCAAGTTCGCTTCTTGCATTCCACCCTAAATCTCTGCGTAGTAGCAAATTAAAAAAATAAAAGTTAAAAAGAATTTTTTCTTCATTCTATTTTTTTTAACAAAACAGCATTTTTATCTTTTTTTCAAAAAAACGTTGCTCCAAATTAACTTATTAATAATGAACTAAATTAATATTTTATATTAATTTGTTTTTTATTAAATAAAATTGTACTAATAGAAACCAGCAAATTTTTTGCTTTCACGTTTTTCGCTTTTAATGACCTTGAAATTATTGAAGTTATATTTAGTTAATTTTACTGAATGGACAGAGTATATCACAGTAAATTAACTTATAACCTAAATCAAAACAACCAGTTAAGTTAAGATAGTAACTTGCAGTTACTCAAGTATTAATTTAAAGGGATCCCCAAGTGTCGAGACAAGTTGTGTTCATTAAACTTTCCAAAACAAATTATTGAATGAGATATTAATAAAAGCGTTTGTTGTTTTGTCATTATACTTCCGGTTATAAGGTTAATATTAACTTTACGAATCTGCATAGTTTTTTCCATTAAAAAAAACATCTGGTTTCATTAATAAATGTTTTAGCTTACCGCAGAGTTTTTGAACTCACACAATTAGATTAGGTTTTCCCCTTTAGATTTAGTCTACGGTGGTTATAATAAAGTTAGCTGTAGCATGTTTTTATTTTTTGTTTAGCATATCGTTAAGTGTTTGAGTTAAATAAACTAGCATAATAAAAAAAGTAACTTAGGCGAAGCGAACTTTAAATACACAAGATGAATATTTTTTAAAGAAAATAAGTAATTATTTTTTTTATATACACCACTAAGTACAATATCCAACAATTTTAATTTTGAAAGTTAAAAAATCTTAATTTTTTTTATTAAATTGAGGAAACTGTTTTAAAAATGATCTTATATATATTAACTTATGCTTATAAAAATTTATATTTCTAATTCAAGAAATTGTTTTTAAAATGATCAATATATATTTTTCAGATGTATATAAAATTTATATTAAAAACTTGATTATTACAATTTCGTTTAACTGCTAAAAGGGAAACCTCTGGAATTTAATTTTTTTCCAAGAAACTTTTTGTATTGACGTCGCATTAATCAGACCTGATTTTAAAAACAAAAGTAGTCAAAGAGCCGGAACTTTCCTTTGCCAGAAAAAAAAATGGCATTAAAAATTAAAAAGTTTTTTGTTAATATCTTATTCAAAAATTTGTTTTTGAAAGTTTTATTAACTTTTAACTTAATTTCTAATGTTTATCTATGATATGAACACAACTTGTATGGGTACTTGGGGATCCCTTTAACAATTATATTAAATTATTTAAAATATTCGCAAAAGTTAGCCATAGACATGTTTCAATTTAGATCTTACATGTTGTTAACACATAATAATTTTAACTAATAATTATTTTAACAAAAATTGTCGAATAGAATATGAAAAACGCGACACCGTTTTTTTATATTTTTATTTTGTTTATAGCAGCATTTATAGACTAAACATTTTCTATAAATACACAAGTTGTTTTCAGGAATTTTATTTAAAAAGAAATCTTTTTGAACAAGAGAACTTTAGCCTTAAAATTCACTTATTCAAATAATTTTGTGATTAAAATTTGAAATTGAAAAAAAAATTTAAAAATTTAAAAAAAGTTTGATGAAACAACGGAGAATGAAGATGAAAGTTTTTTTTTTGTGAATCGTAAATTTTGTTAACGTTTTGAATTATATATTTTTTCTTGAAAATAGTTTAAAAAGTAGAAACATTCTATTGCAAACATCAAAGCAGCGATTGCAAATTGCAAGTTAAAATAAAATTATAAAAATTTTAAATTAAATTTAATAAATTATTTTACTTCTGTTCGAAAATTTTTTTTCTAAAAAAATAATTTAAGCATACTCAATACATAATTTGATTTATTAAACAAAATTTTTTGTTTCCCTTTTTTTTGGAAAACAATTAGAATAAAAAAAAATTGAATTAAAACATCAGTTTAAAATTTGAATGAAAAACTTAATTATACTTAAACTTTAAGTTAAAACTTAAGTTGCAAATAATAACAGTAACTTACCCTATTTTAAACTCTGCTAAACAAGAAAAATATAAGATTATATTTAAATATGAGAGATAATATGTTAAAAATAGAATAATTATGTGCAAAACTTACAATTATATACTAACACAACTTCCCTTCCCCCCCACCACCACAAAGTGGCGCAAGGTATAAGGAGGGGGGGGGGGGAGGGGGTATATATATTTTTTGAAATTAGATTTTTTTTGCAGGGTGGTTTTTTTTTCAACTTTTTTTTTTCAAAAAACTAGGCACAACCTCTAAATGTGTGCAAAATAATAAAATAACACTAGGTTTAAAATTTTTTTGAATAAAAAATATTATTTTTTATTCAAAAAAATTTTAAACACTAGGTTTAATTTTTAACGCCTAGGCTTTTAAAAGCCTAGTGTTATTTTATTATTAATAAAATAACACTAGGCTTGAATTTTTAATGGGTTTATTAAAATTGAACCCGTTAAAAATTCAAGAGTCTTGGGGTCCCCCAAGACTCTTGAATTTTTAATGGGTCCCTAATATTTAAAAAAGTGTTATTTTATTATTTTGCACACATTTAGAGGTTGTGCCTAGTTTTTTGAAAAAAAAATTGAAAAAAAAACCACTCTAATAGAAGTTCCTTAGCCAAAAGAAGTTCCTTAGCCAATTCAAAAGTGGAATTTTTTGCTAATAATTTTTAATAGATTTTGCTGTGTGGCATGGTGCTCCATCTTGCATAAAAATTTTCTGCTTATTTGGAAACCACTTTTTTAATTAAGGTAAAAGACGGGTTTTAATGACCTTTTTGTATTGAAACCAATACAAAAAGGTCATTAAAACCTGTTTTTTTGGTTTTTGTATTCCTGTTTCAATATTCTATCCACAATGTACAGTTGACCAAGGCCTTTTCCATTAATAACCAACCAAAACATGACTTTAGGAGGGTGTTTAATTATCTGGATTATACAATCTTTATGGAATTTTTCATTGGCAGCCCTTTTCACATATTGAACCTTATGAGTCATAATTTCTATGGTAGACTTATCGCTGAAGCATAACCTGGAGAAAATATAATAAAAACAATTATTTAATACCAACACTGAAACATTAGGAAAAAAGAATTATTTTTGTATTATAATGACTTGCTGATTTTCAGTCATTATCGGTGAAACTACTGCACTTCTTTGCCCAATGCAGGCGTTTTTTTCTCTGAGAATTGGTTAATTTTGGCTTTTGTGCTGGCTTTCTACTTCTAATGCCCAATCTGTGAAAACTTTGTCGAACAGTGATTGTTGCTACATTTAGTCCTACCTCATTTAACTTGCTAGTAATGGCTGAGTATGTAGCAAATCTATTTCCTTTCACTATTTTTACTAGCTTTCTCTCATTCCTTGCCATTTTTCAATTTATTTTAGATTCTGTTTACAGTACGTCTTGGTATCTCACATTTTCTTGATACTTCACTTATCGAGTAATGCCTATCTGAAAGATAGACATAACTCGATAAGGTGTGTGTGTATATATATATATATATATATATATATATATATATATATACAGTGGCTATTCTAGGAAAATTTGACAGTATCCCCTTGTTTTGGCAGACTTTCGCAGAAAATCGGTGTTTTTTTGCAAAAAGAAAAAACAATATTTGTTGTATAAACATAAAAAAATGTAAAAAAAGGGCCTCAAATTGTAATTTGGGCGGCGCCTAAATACGGTCAACGCTGTCGAAAACGGTCTAGAATAACCCCTGATATATATATATATATATATATATATATATATATATATATATATATATATATATATATATATATATATATACATATATATATATATATATATATATATATATATATATATATATATATATATATATAATTAGTTATATATATTATTAGTTATATATAATTTATTATTCATATAAAATGTTTAATTGCGTTTTTATCACAAATTACTTTAATTATTAATTGTAAAACTTAGTATATTTATTTATTTGACTTTGTTTCAATCTTAATAAGCAATTGAGTTTAATTTTGTTTTTAGCCAGAAACCAAAAAATTAACTACTAAAATTAAAGTTACTAATTATATATTAATAATATTTACAAATTATGTAATATTTGTAACTGAAATGTTTATTATACATCCACTACGAACTTTGTGTATTCAAATATTTTTATTAATTCCTTACCTACGGATAAAACTAAACAAGGTGAATACAAACATAAGTAAGATTTTAAAATCTGGGTGGAGAGGGGTCATTTCAAAAACATCTCCTCCCTCCATCACTGCAAAAAACGGTATCCCAAAATAAACTCTGGCTTTGCCACTGTGTGTGTATATATACAAATTTAAAAATACAAATTCAAAATAACAAACCTGAATTTCTACTAAAATACTTTCAGCCTGATTAACATCATCGCCAAATAAATGATATTGGTTTGCATAAAAATTAACTTCATATATTAGCATTTCAATAGGATTTAACTTTTTATCAAAATCTTCTAATAACTGCAATGTTTCCTTGCATAAATGCAACCTATTACAAGCATAACTATTAAGGTTTGTCCACTTTTCTTTAACTAACTCTACTTGGTTAAACATCTCTGTCAACCCATCTGTAATATCAAGTTCTTTACAAGTTATAAAAATTGACTCATTGGCAGTAATAAAATTATTGTAAGCACTTCTATTCTCATTGACATCAGCATAAAATTGCTAAATAGAAATAACAAAATATAATGAAAATATTTAAACTTTTATTTAAAATGATTAGGTTCTAGTTTTACATTTTACTGCTTAAGTTCTACAGTTGAAAGAATTTATGAAATAAAAAATTAAAATCATCAACAAAATATGCAACAAAAATTATTAATCATCAAGTTTAAATCAAAAAAAAGTTAAAGAAAAATAAATAAACAAAATGTTAACAAAAATTAGTGAAATGAGATTAAAATAAGGTAAATAATAATTAATATAAGTATATAAAATAATAATTAATTTAATAAATTTAAAATAAGAACATTAACAACAAGTAACTATCTACTACACTTAATAAATTATTCTTTATTTTTAATTAAAAAAAAGCAACTTATTCAAACCGTGTAAACAAAATTTAATAATATCGATTCATTGCTAGGATGGTTCTAAATATCTTTGTTTGTTTGTTTGTTTGTTTGTGTGTGTGTGTGCGTGTGTGTGTGTTAGTGCTCTCCAACCCCTAGATATACTCTATATAATAATAATATACCTAAATTTTAAAATTAAGTTATAAAAATTACTTTTAGAGATCACTGAAGACCTTTGATTATTTAAAGAAACTCATTTTTTATAATATTATGACCAGTCAAATGTTTAAAGATCTTGAGCAACCCCTTAAAAAAATTATAGTAAACTAATGGTGAATTTGATTCAACTAATGGTGAATTTGAAATTTTTAGTGGTATGTCACAGAGTTTTGTTATTGGACCCTTGATGCTTATTCTATATAATAATTATCTACCAGACAAGTTAGTCAATATATGCAAATTATTTGCTGATAATACCAATTTCTATCCAAGGTAATCTCAGAGGCAAGTACCTTAAGTCTACATAAAGATTTAAACACAACATTCAAATGGACAGAAGACTGGCTTTTATGATTTAATGTTCATAAACGTGGAATAGTACACTATGGGGTAAATAATAAAAAGAACCCTTGCTATATTAATGGTACAAAATTAACTGAATCGGAAAGTACAAAAAATCTATGAGTGATTTTTACAAAAAATATCAAGTGGAAGAACCATTCACAGCTATTTCCACAACAAGTAATGCAAGTAGAATGTTGGATCATGTAAAGAAAGCTTTTGTTATATTGGATTACCAAATACTAAAATCACTAAAATGTGCCAAATACTAAAATTTGATTTTAGTATTTGGCAAAAGTTCTAGGATTGACAACTCTAACTGAGCGGAGAGAAAAGGAGTATATGATCCAACTATATAAATTCATGAGCAAAATAAATAAAACAAAAAACAACATAAAGATTGCTAAAAATCAATTTAGAGGTGACTGTTTCAAATAATACAGAGAAACAGCAAAAAACTTATTAAGACTGTTTTGTAGATCTGTTGTAAAAATTTTTTACAACAGATCTACAAAACAACAATCAATCGATTAGGTTGTCGCACTATCCCTAAAGCCATACTCACTGGCTTACCAAGCCAGTTACAGCAACACTTACTAACTAATTTTAGAAATCCAGAGTCACTTTAATAAATAGAACATATTCAGAAGTTAGATTACATCAATTAAAAAAAAAGATTTTTAGAACCACCCTATTCATTACATGAAACCAATTTTTATTTACCTCAGCCTCAGCTAATTGTTTTTGAAGCAAAATTTTATCTGTTGAGACAGGTTTAAATCCATCCTTTTGATTTTCCACTTTTGTTAAATATATATTAAATGTTACATATTCACAGTTGTACTTTCTACAGATAAGATGAAGTTTGTCAATGTCAAATTGGCGTTTAGATGAGGCTTTATTAATATCATCCCAATCTTTTGTAATTTTTTCAAGTTGTTTGTAAAGTTCATTTTTCTCTTGCAAAGAATGAATATCTTCTAGTAACTTTAATCCATTTTGAATAATGTTATCATATTCTGGCTCCTTTTGGACAAGACTTTGCTGAAAAAGCTAAAACAAAATATTTTAAAGATATTTGATTAATAGTATTACAAAAACAGTCTTCAAAAAGTCTTCTGCATAATTGCAATAATAGTAATAATTTTGTAACAATAATTCCATATAATTATAATAATAATTACAGTAATAATATTAATAATTATTTCGTATTACAAAAATAATCTTTCGCATAAATTTAATTTTATAAATAAAAATTTATATAACATTTAAATTATAACTTTTAAACTTAAAATATAAGCATTACAATAAATTATATGGTAATAGATTAAAGCTAATGAAAAGAACTATAAATATCAGAAAAAGTATTTTTTTAAAATTCTAAATTTCATTTCAAACTATGTTTAAAAAGATAAGTTATTTACAAGTATTAGTTATTTCAAGGGAAGGAAATTAATGACTGTATTTGCAAACTATTGACAGTTTTATGTATCTTAGATATTTCGAAAAAAATGGACCAGGAATATTTTTTTAAAATATTTGTTTTGACGGGTTGGGTTTAAGTTTATATTAAATATTTTCAGACCATCTACAGCTTATTAGGACCCTCGCCCCAGTAATTTTGAAAAAAATAAAAGTTTGAATGTAAAACCTTTTTTTCTAAAAAAAAAGAAAGTTTAATATGTGTTATATGCCCAGAGATAGATAATTACCAAGCACTTTAATAACATAAGTATCTCCATCATGACATACGAGCAACAAATTTCTCCCGGTGTTTTAATGTTTTCAGAAATTTTAAGGTTTTTTCAAAATTCTCCAACTTTCGTTCGCTATAGTATATATATTATATATATGTTATGTATATAATATTTTATATATGTTATATTATGTTTATAATACTTTATATATGTTATATTATGCATTATATTATGTAGATAATATGTTATATTATGTTATATTATATTATATACATATTATGTTATATTATATTATATACATAATATATTATATTATATATTATGTATATAATACTTTATATATGTTATGTATATAATATCTATAGAACTTTAAAAATGTTTTATTTTATATTTTAGAAAATTAAAAGAGATAAAAAAAAATAAATTAATGTTCAAGTAAAAAGATTTGAGCCCCCGCAAAACTTCAAAAGTAACTGCTTCGACCACTAAAGCTATTATACTTATATATTTTCACACTATTTATTAAGCAAAAGACTTTATAAAACAGCTAAAAAAATATTGCTGTTATGATAACAGCTAAAAAAATATTGCTGTTATGATAACAGCTAAAAAATATTGCTATTATGATAACAGCTAAAAAATATTGCTGTTATGATAACAGCTAAAAAATATTGCTGTTATGATCTTAACTATTATTTTTTTCATCACTAATAAAGTAAAAAAATAAATACCAAGAACAGCAACAAATAATGATAATAATAATAATAACAATAATAGTAATAATAACAACAATAATATTAATATCAATAATAAAAGACAACAGCATTAACAGCAGTACCAACAAGAATAGTTATAAAAATTCTTCCATTACTAACATTAAAAGGAACAAAATCTTTTTAAAATTTGAACAAAACAAATCTTTTTAAAATCTGAATTTCAGAAAATATAATATAATCCTTACCCAATGTATAAAAATGTGATACTTTTTCCTAATATCTTTTCTGGGTTTTATATAAATTACTATTTTAGATTTATAGCGGGCAGAATTGCATATGAATATCTCCGAATACTTTAGGTTAGTATCATTTCCAGACATAACAAAATACAATATATTTTTGCATCTAAAAAACTGGAATAAGAAAATGTCGTTATGCTAAAAAATCTTTTCCTATAAAATATTGTGTTTTTTATCTTTTCGTTTTTTGATCAATTAGCAAGAATAACAACGTTAAACTTCATAAGTATACTTTTCAAAATCATAGAACCTCACGTGCGTAATATAAAAAGGAAAAGCCTTTTTCTAAAATCACAATTCGCCTAGTACAGTAAAATAAATTATTTAATTTTTAAACGTTTGAATTTAAGGATCGTGATTTAATTCCGATTTCCGATTATTACAATTTGCGTTGATAAATCGACTTTCTAAAGTATCAATCGTCTGACGCTTTTTAAATAAATAAAAATTCCAGAAATTATGCCAAGCAACGTTATTCAAAGAAAATGAAAAACAAAATGATACATATTAAAAATATATAGTTTTTGGTCTTCACGCGAGAAAAAAGATTAAAAATTGAAAAAAGAATTACTCATGCTTACAGCTATTTTTTTTTGCACAACAAAAATTTAATATAAAATATGTTTTTTAATAAATTATATTGCATTTAATTTATTTTTTTCCTCGTAAAAATTTCAAGTTTTTGATTATTAATATTAATTAATAATAAGCTGATGCGTTTGGCGTCATAAAAAAATGCTTTTAAGTTCCATCAATTCTTGTCCTATACCACCTTATAACTCCACCATTAAGTAACTAATTAACGTGATAATCATTTAATGCAAACTTTTTTGCGTTGGTATATGGGAGTGTTCTAAATTTTTTTTTTTTTTTTTTTTTTTTTGTTATTTTGGTGCCCCAAGAACATTAAAAATTTTTTTTTAATCTCTTTTAATTTTCTAAAATATAAAATAAAACATTTTTCTTGTCACAGAGCACCGCGGAAGTCCATTTAACCATGAAGTTCACGCCTTCCTAGACGGTGACGCGAAAATATGACCAGAGCTCGAAACTGAATCTCCTGCTTATAAAGCAAGCGCTCTAACCACTGCACCACGGCCGCACTACGAATGATACTTTACACTATTTTCTTTTAGTAAACCACGATGCCAACAAAATAATTTTAATGGTTATTTTTCATATTCCACTATCCTCAGAACATTTTATGGAACACCCGAGACTGTTATAAAAATAATAATATATTAAGGGTCGTCCGTAAATTACGTCACGCTTTAGGAGGAAGGGGGGGGGGATAGAGTAATAATGTTTAAGGGGAGGGGGAGTGCTTGACGTAGTTTGTATACGATCCTTTAAAAAAGAGTAGTAAGTTTGTGCGTAATAAATTTATTAACGTTTTTAGAAATGTGTTTTACCCGAATCTCGATTTTATAGATCCTTCTATAAATTTTTTAACATCAAGAAAAAAGTTAGTTATGAAATTTAATTTATAATTTATAGATTTACAAGAAATAACATTAATTGTCAACAAACAAGAACGAAATATTATTTTCATAATATTAGTAAAGCCGCCTTCTTTCTTATTCGATATTATAAAATAACACTGAGAATATAAGACAAATCAGAACAACCCAATTGCTAGATACGCTTTCGACAGATGCTTAATTAAAATATGTACTGATAAAAATTCCGAGCTTTTTTTGACTGTTTATGGTACACATGAAAATAGTCAGGTGTACCATAAAACGAGAGGGTGACTTTGGCAGCTTTGAAATACGATCTACCAAGGTCAACCTTAAAAAACAAAATAAAACATATTCTAAAAAGTATGATGGTCAGCAGATATTTACATTAAAAGAATAAGACATGTTTAAGACATATGCAATAAAACCATCTGAGTTCGGCTTTCCTGTCGATGCATATGATTTAAGATGCATAGTAAAATTTTAAGATGCATAGTATTAAGAGAAAAAAGGCGTCGTTATACCTCGATTAAAAAAAAAAAAAAAATCTAGAACTCACAATAAAATTTGCAAACAACATAAAACGAAATAGAACAGAAATAGGAACGACTGTGATTGATATCAACTTTATAAATCTATCAAATGAAATAAGTAATATATCACCTTATAAGATATGAAATTACGACAAAAACAATCTCAGTGATGATTTCGGTAATAAAAATATTAACAAAGCATGGATGTAAGTACACAGAACGTGTCATTAATTATACAAAGATCTCATTCTCTGTAAACTTTTGTGGTAATGCTAATGGAGAATTGCTACCACTTTATGTTGTTTACAAAGTGGAATCGTTATGAAATACATGGATGGAACATGGGCCGTCAAAGACGCGTTGTAACAGATCAAAAAGTGGTTGGTTTGACTTAACATGTTTTGATAACTGGTTTTACTCTTTACTTCTTCCAAAACTTAAGTAAAAACTTAAATAATTGATTAATTTTGTTTTCAAAATTTTATTTTTTTGTAACTTTTTTTTTTACTTTATACTTAAACGTGTTGTGTCTACTTGAAACCTTTACTAGTTTAATTTGTACCTATAGTTTTACTTTATTAAAAAAACTTTCTTACTAAATTTTTTTTTATCACTTTATTTTTGTAAATTTATTTGCCTAAACATTGTTGTTTTTATTGTTACACTTCCTTTAGTATCTTTTCACTGGGTCGGGCCGAAGTCACTCCAACACACGGGGTCCACCATTTAAACCCTTTCCCCCCATAAAAATACTTAAGTTGATTAATTTTTAAATGGGAGAAAGATAGTTCTAACTATCCTTTATATGCACTTCTAAAAATACTTGGTGTTTGAGGAAAAAACTTTTGTGGCTTTAATGCAATAGACTTTAAGGTGCAAAATGGGCCGAAACCAACCAGTTTTACGGTAAACCTGTAAACGGTAAAAAGTTATTAACATCATCGGAGAGGAAGGCTGCGAGAACTTTCTCATTAATGCTGTTTCAACTGCTGCATTTTTTATTCTATGGGGCTATTCATTTATGTCAGTAAATATAGGGGGAAGAGAGTGCTTAAAAATTTGACAAAAACTGACAATAAGGGGGGGGGGCGCTGAGACCAAAATGATGTCAATTTAAAAAAAATAATAATTAAGTTTATTTAAATTTAATTAAGCAGATTTTAAAATACATTTACAGCTACAATGTGGTATAGAAATAGCATATTTGCTTTGTGGGGAATTCGATGAAAGTTTCCCAGAGACATTAAATAAATTAAAAATTTACCAACGTTTTATTATTGTATTACCATTTGACTGAAAATTTAATTGTTTACAATTATCAACAATTTGTACATAAATTAAACAACCG